CGGTTGACGATAGCAGCAAGACCGGCAAGAAATACCATCGCAGCGCCCAGATATGCTGGTCAACACACGGCATGAGTGCTGTGGCTCCAGCAGGTGGGTGAGTCGTCTTGGTCAGATGCATGACAACGAGTGCGATAGCTGTGGCCAAAGCAGCAGCGAGCCATTGCAGTCGTGGGTAAGGATCTTTCTCGAGGTCGAACTGGAAGATTGTTGCTATGATGACTCCAACTAGGCCGCTGAAGAAGTGGCCGAAGATTAGGGAGCGTGGTTGCGAGAAGGGCACGTCGATGGCGCCGTAGCAGAGGATTGCTGAGGCACCCTATGAAAATGTCAGTCCTCCTCAATATCAGATATACAAAGAGTCGGAGAACTCACAAATGAAGCGATGATTGGTGGTACGGCGCGACTTCGCATGTAGTCTGTATGCCCAAATATAGCGAGAATGACGCTAAGCCCGCAGAAAGCGCCGATGAAGCCCCAGACACAGACGACCCATGTGCGAGCAGCTGGGGCTGCTTTTGTTCGATATCCAAGCCAGTGGCTGATAGGTTGCGGAAGGCGTGCAAGACCACGCTGGATAACGCGCTCAACAGGCACAAGAGGATCCCATATCGGCATCGTGAAGGCGGAAGATGCCTAGTTTACGCACGCGGCGGCGACTACGACGTATACCCAAGAAAGACGATTAGATTGAGACAGTCGTGTCGAGGACTATTCGCTGTCAATATTAGGACGTAGTGGTAGCGATGTCAAGGAATGGAAATGCGGAAAGAGAGAAAGCTTGATGAAAGCATGGACGCGGTAAACAGAACCTAGAGAAGGGAATAACGACCGGTGGGACGTCACCATCGCGGATCGAGCCTGGATCATGCACCCCGGACTAATGGCGCGTGCCATTTTAGTGCTACTAATGACCGCGGCATCAGGCTTTCTGAATTCACGATCTTTGTTGATGCCACTGTTTCTAGAGATGGCTGGTATGCGTCGACACAAAGACGACAGGACCTCTGGCCCTGCTGCCTCGCCTGCAAACAGACCCTGCAACAACAGCGAGGATGAATCCTGCGCAAACAAACGCGCAAAAGGAAGGCTTCCGCAAAGTCCTGACGATGGTTTGCGAAAATGCGGAGTAAGCGGTTTTCTGTTAGTAATAATCCGAGATTTCGCAGAGCTTCGGGCGAATGTCGCCGAAGTGCGGCATCATCAAACTCTTACTCCTCACATATTTACGAGAGTCAGTTCTCAGCCCGTACAATTAGAATTGTTGGTATTATGGGTATGTATGGTTCTTTTACCATGCAAAGAGGCATTTCATGCCAATGTATGGTCGTCGAGTCTGTAAAGACCGGGACCAACCCTCGAAAACGCCAGAGCGCCGCGCTAAAGCCCAAAGATATGGCATGCATCCCAGATGAAAGTCGTAATATGGTCGTCGCAATTAGACAGCCTGCCAGGTATGACTGTTCGGGTCCTTGAGAAGGCTGTTGTTGGAACCTTTAGTACCCAGTGCGGTAGCCACCGAGTCCACCCTAACATTTCCCTTCACTGTCGTACTATCCGCGTCATTACTATTCATATCCTCTCCATCATCTTTCACAGTCGGTAAGCTCATGTCTGCAACGAAGCTCGGCTTGGTGAGCTGGTGCTCCTTCAGTATGCCCATCTTCTTCAACCAGTTCTCAGCGGGGCTCTTGAGCAAAGGAAGCGAACTAGCAATGATGCCGATCTCTTCCTCGAGTTTGGCCCAGAGTGAAGGTACGATGGTCGCCTGCATCACGTCGCCTTGACCGAACGTGGTGAACGTTGTCATCTTGGCGCAGTTTATCGCGGTTGCGAGGAGACCGAGGGCCATGAGGAAGCCGATGAGTATCTTCTCGGATTGAGAGCGGTTCAGGGTGCGGATCAAGCGGATTGGCATAAGTGAGAGTGTGAGATCCATGGCGATGTAGATGCCTATTGAAAGAATTAGCCAGGTTCTACATAAGTAGCGCCGAGGAGAGTCTTACCAGCAATGACCCATCCGTAGATGACGATGGGGCCCAGATCCCAGCATTTGGAAGAGATACCGGTATCCCAGTTCGAGCTGATGGGTGTGCATTGCGCAAATTGGATGACGAAGTAACTCCATGAGATTGTTGTTTGTAGGCCCATGATGAAGTACAATGGCCATCGCCAAAGCCTTTCAGTCCCGAAGCGCAGCAGTGAGCACGCGACAGAGAGTCGTACAAGCCAGAGCGTAAGAAGCCATACAGTTTGGAGGGCGAACTGTAGCCTCAATGTCTGCTTGAGCGTCTCGGGTGTGAAGGATGCCGCTGGTTTGCCCCATCCGTATGCCGTGGATGCGATAGCCAAACATATGCCGATCAAAGAAAGTGGTTCTGCGACAACGATGATCCAGTCATCGAGAAACAGTTTCCCAGTCCTCTGTATCCGTGTGTAGATGCGTGCGGTAACCAGGAAGAGTGCGACAAAGCCGAAAGAAACGACAGGTCCAAGGTAGATGGCGGCTTTGTTGGAGTATGGCACCGCGGCCATCGGGTCGGCCATCGAGTGGTGTCGTGTCGTGGGGTTTGACCAGAAGGTGAGGATACGGAGGAGTCTGGGGTATTGCAATTGTCTTGCACGCTACGTGCGACTAGTTGTCATGGGCTTCGTGAGATACTCAAGGGATCCTCGTATGCTGCGATTCTACCAAAGCTACACACCCGTCGACGGACAAGTCGTGAACGGAAGCCCCGGATAGACAAGACGAGAAGACGAACAGGCAAACAAGAAGAAAGAAAAGCCTAGATACCCTGGGCTTGTAGAGGTATTGAACAAGTTTAAACTTTCGCACCTCGGGATCCGGCTCATCGACGCTATATACGGACCGCTGCAAGCATCGTATTTCCCGCCATTCTGACATGCGACAGCGTGGATTGATGAGGCGCCCGGCCATATGTCCTGTGAAGGCTACCACCTGCAGGAACAATAAAGTTCGAAGCAAACCTTCCGTCCTTCAGCGCGGAGACGAACTTGCGCAATGCAGATGGGGTGGGGAGGGAACCGTTGCTTTGACACGGCAGATGGGCCAGGGCCCTCAGGCATCCATCGTCAAATGTTGGTTGCGGATGAGCCGTTTACCACGCGACTGCTAGACTAATCTGGGTCTAGGCGCTCGCTCGGCTGGGTATAGTGAGGCTATCGCAAGCGGGTAGTCGCGTGGCATGATTCACGTACCTGGAGCTGCTGAAGCAATGGCTTCGTTTTTGATGGGTGCATCGCCCCTGAGTTGTTCAGCTCCGCGAGCAGGTTTATGCGGTAGATGCACGTCAACGGTGAATGTTGCAAGTTTCGACCCCGGATTACTACTGTCGCAATGACTCCAGCAATCAGATGAGAGAAAGAGGAAAGACGAAAAACCTGCGCTGCCGCTTGCTACGCCTACTGTGTTGCAGCTGCGACAAGATGCACATCTCATACTCAAGAATCTAGCCATCGGGCTATTCATTCCCTTCGCAGTGATGTATCCGGAATCCGGTAAACTAATCGGTTTCATCGCTGCGATACCATCGACTCTGGCCCTGGTCCAGCGGTAGTACGTGCGTACCGTGTCCGGCGCGGCCTCTTTGTGATCTGAGGATTCGCAGCTGAGCGCCGTCATTGGCGGCATTATAGGGGTCTGAGTCGCACAGCATCCATAAGGATGATCTGTCCAAATGCGAGTCAATAAGTTCGGAAGGATCGCATTGCGCAAGCACTGCAGGATGAATGAATTCTGGTTGTTGGGAACTCTTGGAGTTGAGGATTGGCCGCCACGACGGGCGGAAGACGGCGGAAGACGATAACCTGGATGCAGACTGACTCGTATCGATAGCCCAGGGAACTGATGGCTCGCACATCGCATTCAGAATTCTAGTAGCATGCGAACTATGCGGTAGCAGAACCAGAGTCCCATATGCGCCATCCTTCTTGCATGCTGCAGGGCCGCTGGCGTTCAGGCTATACGAATGTCTGTAACGCGCCAGGTCAGCCACCGCATGAAAGATTACTGATGGAAAGATGTAAGCCCAACTTCGGGCCTTCTTCTATATCCCTCATTCCCTCTCCAAGAATAGGAGTACATCGGTGTAGAACTCCAATGGTCGTAAGCTTGATGAGAAGCTTCCGCGGTATCTGATTGGCCTATGACATCATGCCCCTCACTTTAGCGCAAGCACGCAACCTGCATTGAAACTCTATCGCAAGATCGCAACCGAACATTGATCATCAACCACATCCTAAACCGAATCTGTTACCCATCCTCCGAAACCCGATTAGAAAGCTTTGCTATGGTCGAATGTCCAGAGTGCGGTGCAGGGGCTGATTTGACGAAAGACGGTGCTTGGGCGCATTGCGCTTCCTGTATGTCAACGCCCCTGATTCTGTAGACATACATGCTGAGTTGTTGTGAGGCAATACGGTATTTGAGCCAGGAAAAGAAGGTAGCCACTACAAGGGCAGCGGAAGCGGGTCTGGTGACAAGGAAGAAGAGAAGAAGGGCGATTCGAAGGATGAGAACGTGAAAAAGGATTGAGATTAAGGGGACGAGCTTGACTTCGAGCGTGAGATGTTCAATGTTGATGTATATTCACCCGGTAATTACCATGAGTTGTACGCAAAGACCGGACATGCTTACAGTACGAATGAAATCGCTAATGTAATGACAGACATACAATATACAGCACTTGCGTATCTCGCCCGATGTCCACCAATGGTACATGATCGACAAAGATCTCTGCTTGCGCCTATCTCATCTGTATCTCCGTGATCCTTTCGCTCCAATGGAGTAGCTCATACCTGAGCGATACGAACTATTCATCGACTTAAGAAAACGTAGATTTATCCTAGCCTTCCACAGCGATACGTCTTGTCGGCGGAGACCGCAGATTTCCGCCGGCATCAGCTGTTTCAACATGATCTTCTCGATTTCGCTAGCAACTGTCAGTTGGTTCATTCTATCAGTGGAAAATACTGTACACTTACGCATTGTCCGAATCAGGTTTATTCTTAACGTCATATCTGGTCAAGACCTCCTCGAGATAATCCAATACCGTTACCGCGGAGTACTGAGATGGGAACAGCTGCTTGCAATCTTTTGATTGGCAGTCGTGTCGGGTCTTTTGTCCGTGGAAGTACTGATCCTTTGGGTAAATAGAGGACACTTTACGCGATTTCCTACCGCCGAATCCCCCGGATGCTTTTGCCGGATCGTATTGGATGCGAAATGGGCTAGAGAAACGACTGAACTCTGTCTCGACGACCTTTCCCAACCCGTTTACCCACATCGTAGTAGCTGCGTACCCAACAGTCTTACCGAATGTGTGTTCCAGCGCATTCATAGCGTTCAGTCGAAGTTCTTGAAACGTGATTGTTTGCTCGGCGAAAAGGGAACGGCCACCCGGTGTAGAGGTCAATGAACGGATCGTGACAGTGCGATCACCCCAATACGAAGATGTCTCCAAAAGTAAGGGCAGCACGCTGATGCGCAGGTCTTCCAAGGCGGTCGGATCGGCTAGGTCGAACTCCAGCACAACGCTGAGCTCTTGTGACTTCTCCAGCTTCCAATGGGGCGCTGACCACCGCAAAGGTCCTGATATCCCGTGGTAGTTTTGTCCAGGATCCTCGGGAGTTGTAAATGTACGACGTAAGATGCGAGCAAGTTTGCTAAAGTTAGTGAACGTACTGCGCTTTTCTCTTGAATGAAGCAGCAATGTGTACGTTGCGGCTTGTAGCAAGCTTGCCCAACAGCTCTCGTGAAACCGCCTATTGACGTGAGTGAAGTTGACTGGCAAGCTCGTGTCGACATCAAGATCGATGCAGATTTTCTCCCGCTCACTGAGGACCTCGGAAAAGATCTTGGAGAGTACGGGATGAACGGGTAAGGTCAACAAGGTAGGAGGTGTCGGCTTTGTCAAGGTGAGGCACCGTCCACTATCCTCAGCGGCGAAGCTGTAGATTTGTTGAGCGCGATCGAGTGCAAATCGGCTTGGTGCGCCAGGTGGTACTTTACCCAGACGGAACATACCACCGGAGCCGTCATATTTGATTGCAATCTCGAGCATCTGACTGCGAGATGCCTTTAGCATCACTTGGCCTTCGAGAATACAGCGCATGACCCGGGTCATCGCTGGAGGATTACAGACATCCCGGGAAGCTCCCTTGGCTTGCAAGTAAGCGATCTCGATAGCGAGGCGGTGGTGCCAGAGGAATCTCAAAAGTATGCCGACCTCAAACACATCGTATGTGTACGGGAATGCACATCTATCGAAGTTCAAGGCCCACGGCCTACTCGTAATATCGAGGATAACTTTACGGATCCAATGAACCTGCGAGCCCACTCGCTGGAAAAATAATACAGCAACCTCATCCGCAGTCGCCTGACTACGCTGTGAGTATTGGTAGCTGTCCGGAGCTATGAGGAACTTGTTGTTGGCATAGAAAGCCGAAGCCACATCCGAGTAAATAGTCCGACATGTCAGAAGCAAGCTCCTCTGACGCTGATGTTCTGGTTGGAGCGAGAAGCTTATGCGCTCTGAGCTGTATTCAAAATGTCGACGGAAGGTAACCTTGACGGGCTCGGAGAACTCGACGAGATCCTCAAAGATCTTGTTCCGAAGCTCAGCGGGTAGAGTAACGAGGGAATGTTTGCGCGGATCTGCTGGCTTCGAGTTGCCGCCCGATAGTGGTAAGGGGACTCTAGGTTGCGCCTTAGTGAGGGCGTTAAGGGCAGTCGATTGCTTGGTGGCCATGATGATGGCGTTCCTTGATCTGAAGCGATGTGGTTGAGAGTCGTGAAGTGCGCGTAAGGCATAAGTCAAAATGTGCAAGTCCTTAAGTATATTCAGGGTGGAGAGAATACATGGGGCTATACAAAGTCGCGCCACACTGTAGCCTTGAGTTTTACAACCCAATGGACCGTGCCCTTTGTCTTCCGACGCAGATAGTGGCCCTCACGACTTCACTACCTAGGTACCCAGACGAACGGGAAACCCCAGAATGAAATCACAACTACGAGAGTTGGGGAATACGCCTTCAAATTGTATAGGCATCACTAAGTCTCTGTGTTCAGACTGGCTCCATTCTTAGATAGCCCAAATGATCGTATGCCCCACGAGGTCGCTCAATCGAAGTGCTGACAGGCGTTGCCCCAGTTATAGGAGGTGCGTTTGCAGAAGACGTTGCATCTGTGTGTGGAGTTGCACTGCTCGGAGCGGTGTTGTCGGAGTCTCGGTTACCCATGGCGCGTAGAAGTGAGAGTATAGTACATGGATGTATGCTGTAAGCGTATGTATCGAAGCGACGAAGTGTAACACTGAATGTAGTGTGGACGTTAAAAATTGCGGTGTAGAAGTCAAGAAGCGTGATGTCTTTTTGTTATTGATGTTGTTGTTGTTCCGACTTTGTCAGCACCTGCTCGACAACTTCAAAGCGAAGGAACATGGCTGCGGGTGGAGCTTTTAGATTTCCGGCGATATAGGCGACGAACCCAGCTCCAAAGCCGAAGAGATGTGTCGTCTTGCAACGCCAAGCTCATCGGGATGAGGTGTATTTTGAGTCGGTATGCACGACCGCAAAGTGGGGGACCATGTGATAGGCATGGATAGTCTTTGATCCGCGGGTTCGCTTCTCCCCGTTCTTGATCATATGGAGCACGAAATAAAACTTCGCCTTTGCCTTCAAGATCTCGTACTTCTTTGCATGACGTCCCGTCGTGTACTTGAGCTTCGGCTCCAACGACTCGTGGTCGGGCATTTCTCCGTCCATCATATTACCCTCATCTGTGTTTTCCACCTCTTTCTTTGGCATCTTGTTGTATGAACGGCGTGTCATCTCTCTGCCGTCTGTCTTCAACATCGGGACGATGTCATGAAGCATCCGAATAAGATTGTGGCTTGAGGGCTTATCTTCCACAGGAATCTTCACATCTTTCTCGTTGAAGTCAACATCTCACTCGTCGTAGACATTGTTTACGCCTGGAATATGGGCGATGTCTCGCCTGGCATTAGTAATGGCGGCTGTGAGCGGGTATGGGGTTCGATTGTCAATATCCCACTGGGCGAAGTATCCCTGATCGAAGTCGGTCAAAAGGAGGGCCGCCCCGACTTGCGCGCCCAGATGTTGCAACTCCATCCTGATCGATTGCACATGGGTAGAGAGCATCGCAATTGTTTGGTAGAAATAGTCTTGAACCTTAACTTTCTCTTGGAATTTCTCTAGCTCTGAGTTGCTGAAGTTGGTATGGGTCGTGCAGCTTTTCTGGAGGAAGCCGTGAAGAGCTGAGTTGAGGTCTTGAATGTGCTGCAGCCTGGGCACGAGCTCGTCCCGGTAAATTACGGCAGTGTCTTTGCCGATCTGCTTCTTGTTCTCCTTGTTGACCTGGAGACGAAACGGCGAGTCACAGAAGGTCTTGCCGACTACGATCAGAGTTAGATTTCTCCACGGCACGCTGTTTCGACGATGTAGCCTCATCGCCTTACCAAGAAAGAGTATGCGAAAACCAAAGGTATACTGAAGCAAGTCTTGATAGGGCAGAAGATTTCGGTACTTTGAGTTGCTGCTGAGCAAACAATAAATGCACAACCATATGCTAGCCAGTCTTAGTACGTGCACTTTCCGCAGTACCCACAGTCCTCAGCAGAACACGCTGTATAGTCTGGCTCAGAACCTGAGTCGTCATCGTAGCCATTGCCAAACCCATACCTCGCATCAATATCGACACCGCCATCATTGTATTCGTCCTCATCCGAAGCATCATCCTGAGTAGAGGAGACATAAGTCTCCGTCTTCTCCCACCTTTCGACCAAGTCTGCAGGCAACGCGTGTACGCCATCACCGTACTGGCTTCGGACCTCTAGGCGATCCGCTCCTGGGCAATACACTTCGAGTAACTTGTTCGTGCTGCTCTTGGCAATGTCAACGATCTCATTGAGTAGTGTTGCGAAGCGGCGGATACCGTCTCTATTGTCTCGGACCCAAGCTCGCACATCGCTCTTGACATCTTGTACCTGTATGTCTTCGAAGAGACCATGACCGTCGTGGTAGGCAACGATGAAGTTGGATATCTGTTTCATCCAGAGCGCTGGGTAGATGTCGGTCATGTCGATGGGTTTCTTGTATTTGCCTGAGCGTGTCTTTAGGTCGAAGACGGAGTGATGCGGTACTGCAGATCCGCCGTGCCTAGTCTTGATCTCTACAGGTTTACCCGTCGTGTTGCTGGGCGGACGCCCGATGGCTGCTTGCTGAAATGCTTGCAGAAGCTCATCTTGGTCTGCAGCAGTCTGTGCGGGCGCGACATCACGGACTGCTGAAGAGTCATCAATGTAGCCGTCGCTTTCGAAGCGTACAAGACACTCCAAGCCGCCAAACTCATATCGTATGATGCGCTGGTGTGTCTCAGAACCCTTGACACTATGCTCCCATGTGGTGTATGCTTCTGGAAACGTATGACCAAAGCCTCTGATATCCTTGATAACTTCTTTGGGGTCGTTCTCTTTCCGTACAAAGAAGACAGTCTCGCCAATGACCTCGATGTTAAACCGAAAGGCTTTGTCGACACCACGAGCGAAGCGCAGGAGGTTGCCAAGGGTGCTTCCGCATGCGAAGACATCGGTGTTCGTAGCGTCGAATTCGGGGTCGGTCTCTGTAATAGCATGTACGACGGGTGCCATGGGGAAGTCGGGATACTTTGCAGCATTGGGGTCGCGAAAGTACTGTCCGTCGTCTTCTTTCAAACGCTGTGGAGCTTGGAGTGGTGTCCAGCGAGGAGGTTTACCTAGAACTGTCAGCTCCATCTGGTATGCAGACTACAGCAAGATGAAAACGTGCAAAGTGGGCGGGCTAACGTCCATGTAGGCACAAAAAGAAGCCTTACCTGGAACGACGATGGTAGGTACCTCGTCATTGAGCCAGTTGTACGACGCGACATGTTGGCAATTCGATATCTCCGCCGAGTCGATTGGTTTCAGACTCAGATCGGAGCTGCGAAACACTTTCACAGGGTCTCCAAGCGGATGTGTCTGGAGATCCGGTTTTGGCTGCTCTCTGTTCTTTGCGAAGTGAGGCGCTCTTCCTCCGCGGCCTCGCCCTCTGCGTGGAGCCCAGCCACCTCTGCCGCTGCCTGAAAACGAAGCCATATTGCGGAAATGTACTGACTAGTTTCGAAATTGTGAATTGCGAGGCTGAGTTATGCGCCGGATGGAAAGCGACACGCCGGCTTCAAGTATGGCATGCTGCCTAGACAAGGCTGAGTTCGTGTGGCGCTGTTTGCTCAACATGCAGGTCGCACAGCGCATGCCTGTAGGCCTCAATTCGTCCAGAGCTCACCAGAACATGCAGGCAGACAAAGATTGATGCCTCGCCGCATAACAAAGTGTGAGTCTCTTCCAATCATTCGCACAGCCCGTTATCAGAGAATCATCGCGCATGCGCTGGGGTCTGGTGCGGCCTCCCGGCTACCCATTCAGAAAGCTCAAAAGAACCAAACGCCCTCTGAAGAGCGATGGAATAGCGGCAGATATCAGCTTGTCTTGATAAATCTTTTCTCAACAGTTGATACCTTACACGATACAAACCTCATCCATGGCGGACCAGGACGCCGCGAAGCGTGCCGCAGGGTTGACGAAGCTCTTCAACGCTATCATCCATGGTCGTCGCGAAATCAAGACGGCGGGCGACAGTAATCGATTTTTGGAGGCGTTGTGTGCTCAAGAAGACGCGTCGAAGTGTGTTGAGTGTCTGATCGCGTCTTCGGCAGGGCTAGCGGCCGTCGGCGTTGCCTTCCGCACCACCGGGGACAGCGCGTTCCTCAACGGGTGGGCAACCGCCGTCATCACTCATCTGGCCCAGCCCCCTGTCAAGCAACTCTACGGCGGCCAATTTCTACAGCGCGTCCTCGAACACATTGTCCAGCCTCCTACATTCTGGAACACCTTTGTGAACGCGCATGATGGTCACGTGCTTTCCAGCGATGGCACTCGCGCGTTCGCGTGGCTGCTCCTCGAGCTGCTATACAGCCGCTCTGAGGAGATCCCAGATGTGCGAGACGTCGCAGAACGCGTCACGAAGCATGGGTCCTTCATCGATTCAGATTCGCTGGATATTCGCAACATTGGGCACAAGATCAAGCATGTCCTAGACAGCACATTCGACCAGTCGGTCGATGGCCCAGGCGGGCGACACGACAACGACTTCGCGCAAATCCACAAGATCAAGCTTTTACCGACGCCAGACGAATTCGCATCTTCCGAGCATCCATTCTACAGACGCGCTGATTCCATCGTCTCTGTCACCCCGGAGAGCCGTGGTCTTACCCATGTTGACAACCAATTTCGCTTACTCCGCGAGGATCTTCTCGGGGAGCTACGTAACGACTTTCAGATTGCCAGTGGTCAGAAGAAAGGTCGACGTAAAGTGGTTCTCGAACACCTGCAATATGCCGGTATCGACTGCGGACCAGAGGCGAAACCCAAGCCTTGCGCACTGCAGCTTCTTTGTCCAGACGACGTTCCTCAGCTGCGCAACGTCAAACCCGCGAACCGCAAGAAGTTCCTCGCCGACAACAAGAACGTCCTGAAGCATCAGTCACTGGGCTGTCTCATCAGCAACGGTAACATTGTTGCGTTTGCAACTGTGGACCGTGATGAAGATCTCCTTGCGAAGCAACCTGCTGTTGTAGTGCTGCGAGTAGCCGACGCCAGCTCGTTTGGCAAAGTGCTGATGGCATGCAAGCTCCAATCTGACCTTTGCTTTG